TTTTAATAATATATATATCTTAGACTAAAATAGATATCTGTAAAACTCTACTTCACTAACATTTAGCCGATGACTTTGATATATCTCTTCCATTCCAAGTCTGTTTTTAAAAGCTCCAGGTCTACGCTAGGCAAGCAAAGACAAAAAGGGATATAATCTCCCTCAAGAGGACTCATCGAAATGGAGCCAGTGATCGGAGTTGTTCTTGGTCGCCTAAGAAAGCATGATGGCCCAAGCAGGGTGCCAAAAGTACTTGGACGCAGGTCGTCGCCAGCAAGAGCGGAAGTCGCACCAAGGTCTGTATTTGGGTTCGTTTTTCCACCATAGAGAAGATGAGATTTATCTGGCTCACGGGCAATATGAGTCGCGTAGCTGCGCAAAGTCCACTCGTTGTTGGAACTATCAAGAGCCTTTCGTAATCTATAAGCGATATCTCCTAAACTTGACGACGCAATGTGTTGCAGTGGAAGACGAAGATTGGCGTGGTAGACCATATGGCCCATGTAGCCTAGGGGGATACCTCCAGCAAGGCGGCCATCAATCGCCCTGGAGAACTTGGATACTGTTCCCGGGTTCTGGGTGGATAGCCTCACTGTGCTGATGCGTTGCCAACAGAAACCGCATATGACATCGTTCTCCGAGAGCAGACCATTGTGAGAACTCGATGCAGACAGCTGCGTACGTGCTCTCTTCATCAATGCTTTCAGTGCAGCAATGGGGAGCTTGAAGTAGCACCAGGCTGGCGTCGACAAGACTGGCGGATAGGTGAAGCCAGGTGGACGGCGCAGATCCGCATAGTCTTTGCTGGGCTCTCCGGGGCCAAGCAATCTGACTACCGATCGTCTATCGCGATTTGCTTGTACAAGATCAGTGGGAGAAATTGGCTTTCCCTCCAGCGCAGATGCGAGATGCCGTATAAACTGAAACGCAGCCGTGCCATCCATGACGATATGATGGAAACACATGGTGAGGAGCAGCCCCCCGCTAATGAAGTTGGCCTGCAGTGCAACAATGGGCACGGGGGGCTCGAGTCTGTGACCAGCGTTCAAGCCCGGAAATGGCGAGACTATGCTTGCGTCCAATTCTGAAATGGGCACTCCTCTCCGAATGAGATCATCCATTGCGGGTAATAGAACATCGCAGTCTTTGCGACGAAGGATGTCATTCCTGGGTCCATCTTTTGGCCATGGTGCTGGCAGAAGAAGTCCATCTTTTGCGATCACCTGGCCATCGAGCCAGTAAATCTGATGAGTTAAGCTGCTGAGAGCATCCTCGAGAGCGTCCGTGACAGCTTCGCGGGGTGTTTCCGGTAGGAGTTTGAAACCGAGGATCAATTGGGTATGGCCATTAAGGGCCGGGAATTGCGACATAACGTCTTGAAAAACGCCACTGTCGTCATTGGAAATTTGTGCAAGCTCTGGCATCTTGAGCTAATTCTTTGGTTTGAGTTTCTAATGCAGTGTAATGTTAAAGATGTTAGGATATAGCGACCTGGCACGATCATGAAAGATATAGTGCCATTGAAACTTGAGTCTGATACTATGTTTCACAAACAATGATCCTAACAATAACAGGCGGGGCTCTGGTAATCTTTGAGCCAAGCCTTGAAAATAAACGCCGGACTAATGGAGTCTTTTACCTGCCGTGCCTCCAAAATCCGGAGTTTTGTTGTTCTCGCACCTACTAACTACCAAGTCCGGGCCAATCAAGTGTAAAGTTTGTTCAACACGTTGGACATCTCTACAATGTGTCAAGTACTCAAAATGAACACCAATCTCTCGAGACCATCGATTTCCTCATCCTTTAATCCTACTTACTGTTCACTAATATTAGTATCGATTTACTTAATAATCAACATGTTGGTTAATAAGATTGCCTTGCAAGGTGTGAGCCTGGCATGGCTTGCTCTTCCGTTGGTCAACGCGTGGTACTGTCCCCCACCCGGACCAGTTCTCCCGGCCGCCAAATCTCCCAGTACAAGCCCGCATGTCAAAGAGGCCATCAATGATCTTTTCGCTGCCCTCAAACTCGTGTCCGAGACTTGGTATCCCAACACTGCTATTTCTGTAGCTGCCAAGTCCCTCCACGAGGAGACACCCTTTGTATCCCACCACATCTATCCCATCGGTGGACTGAACACTAGTGGGGTGACCGCTATCGATGAGGAAACGGTCTACCGTGTGTCTAGCGTTTCTAAGCTATTCCCCGTTCTCGCCCTTCTTCGTCTTGGAGTCAGCCTCGAAGATCCAGTCGTCAAGTATCTACCCGAGCTACGATCTATCAGAGTTGCCGAGGCCCCGGATGCCATCACAAGTGTTGACTGGGAGCATATCACGATTGGGATGCTAGCATCTCATATGAGCGGGATCGCTGCCGAATGTCAGTGAGCCATGCCCCAACATTCACACCCGTGCTAACATCAGGATCAGATGCCGTCGACCTCGCCGCGGTTCCCTTTGACCTTGGCCCAGCATTCCAAGCACTGGATGAAAAGTCCTTCCCGCCATGTGCTGTGACTGGCTTGAACCCTGAGACTCTACCGCAATGCACCCGTGCCGACTTCTTCCGCGACTTTGGTGTTCGACATCCAGTTTTTGCACCAGGCACTGCGCCTGTCTACTCCAACATCGGAATCTTCCTCCTAAGCCTGGTTGTTGAGGTAGTGTCGAAGACACCCTACGACACTTTTGTCCAGCAGAACATCTTGGGTCCTCTCGGCATGACAAACACTACAACCGGTGCTGCGCCTGATGTCTCTTACGGCGCTATCGCTGTGAATCATACCAGCTGGGGCTTAGACCTCGGCTTTGAGAATCCGTATGTACTTCACCATTCCTCCCTCGGTCAACATTTTCATGCTAACAGGCGAAGGTCTGGAGGTTTCTATTCCAACACAAAGGATCTCTTGGCATTCGGAAACGCAATTCTCGAGTATAAGTTGTTGGATCCCATAACGACACGAAAGTGGCTGAGCCCTGTTGCCTTTACTGATTCTAGCGGCGTCATGGTCGGTTATTCCTGGGAGATCATGCGTACCAAGAACATTACAGGGGATGGAAGAATCATACCCGCCAACTACAAGTCAGGACACCTCCCCGGCTACCAGGCAGCCCTCATCCTCGTGCCTGACTACGACCTTGTCTTGACAATCCTCGTAGCGGGCCCCCTTCACGAAGCGACAGAGAGTCTCTTGCAGCATTTTGGCTCTCGCTTCATTGAACGCATGGTTCCTCCTCTGGGACAAGCTGCTAAGGATGACGCTCTCATTCGATACGGCGGTGTTTACTCGGACCCTGCGAGCAACTCAACTTTGAGAATTGAACTTGACCATGGCCCAGGCCTGTCCCTGACTGAACTTACAGTTCGAGGAACGAGCTTGTTGGTGGATCCTTTCGGCAAGCCAGCTCGCATCAGACTGTACCCCTCTAATCTCAAGACCAAGGGCCGGGAGGCTTGGAGATCCATCACAAGCACTCTGACTGATGAAGAGGTCGAGGCAATTGAATCTGGCTTGATTTGGGAGCAAGGCACCTGTCCAACACTTGGGACGCTAGATAGGCGTGGTTACGGCTACAAGTCGCTCGATGAGTTCATCTTCGAGTTGGATGCATCTGGAAATGTCAAAAGCCTCAACTATCGCGCACTGGACGTCAATTTCGAAAAGAACCATGAATCACCCAAGAGTCAGCATCAAGAGCCTACGGAGGATCTGGTACTACTGCTGAGGGCACTTCTGGTCAGACTTGAGTCTAAGTAGGCTTTAGCAGTACTTTCCTGCTCCTGTGTGGTTTCAATCGGAACCCTATGGAAATCAGGAGGGTTGACTTCGTATTCCGAGGTTACAACACGCCCGAATTCGTTTCTATCAACTGTTGGGTATCACATTCACTAGAAAAACACATTCCAGGCTTATCCAATTACTATGTGTTGACGTAAGGAAATTCACAGTGGCCCTACAGAGTTCTATCAATTAAAATACCATTATCTTTGAATGAAGGTCTTGAACCTGATTGTTTGTTATACAACTTCATATTTAAGTATCTGCGAATGGCAAAAGACAGTCTGTTGGTATTTCAGTGATATATCATGGTGTATTTTAGATACTGCGAGCGATTGGTAGCCGTTAAGAAGATACAAAGAACCCCTTACAAAAGCTTCTTCCTTCTAGACTAAGTGTTGCCCACTCCTCGTGCTGACAACTTCTCCAGTGCAGTTTCCATCCTTCATCAAATACACATATGCTTCAGCAACATCCTCAACCAAGCCCTCACTAGCAGTTGGGTTCTTGCGGACCAATTCTTCACGGACATTCCACTTTTGCTCGTCTGGAATTTGCGACCATAACCCGGTGTCTAGGACGTAGCCGGGCTTGACAAGATTAACTCGCACAGGTTTCATGTCCAAGGCCAAACCACGAACGAGGCCCAGCATTCCTTGGGCTATGTATGCAAGGACACTGCACCCAGGCTGGGGTTGATCTGCAATGCTTCCCGAAGTGAACGTAAGACTGGAATGTCGACTCGGAGGAAGGCGTCGTGAAGCAACCTTTGCCAGAGTTACCATCGCCTGTAATTTCTTGTTGGCCAAGCCAAGCTCTTGACTCGTTATGGCCTGGATCGATGTTTGTCGTGGGTGGGAGTTGGCAGCCGTCATGACAACGTGGTCTACTGTGTCGATCTTGTCGAAGAGTCCTTGGAGATCGTATTCAAGGCTATCCAAGTCTAGATCACAGCCGTATCCAGATATCTTGGCTTCTGGAAACTCTGACTTGATATAGTGGACGGCCTTGTCAGCTGTGGCTTGTGATGAGCCAACAACGGTGACGTGAGCTGCGTCTCGGATTGCGGCTATGGCGACGCCACGACCGATTCCACTTGTGCCGCCTATAATTAGAACATGCTTTCCACGTAGTTTCTGAGGGCCAGGCATCATAAGAGAGTTATTGTATTAAAAGTAAGAGTTGAAACACTTTAATCCATTGAGGATAATATGGGCAGATATGTATTAGATGAAGAGGGAAGGAAAGTTAACCTATAGTTGGACTCGGAGTAATTGTAATTGTAATTCTATTTCTATGCTGCTTATCTAAGCGCATCTCGCATCACGATATGCTTGCTAACCCACCAAATTATCTTTTCTCCGCAAACAAAGCAAGAGTCTAGAGTTTCCAAGATAAGCAGTGTCAGTCTAGAAATACTCCAGTTTTCTTAGCAGCAAGGATGATCCCATCTACTAATTCGGCCACATCTGCAGACTTGATTGGGACACGATGATCTCCATCCCACTCAAGTACCCGGGCCGTATCCGCTCGGCAAAACTCAACTAACCCCCTATGCCGGGCTATTCTCTCATCCCGTAGTCCATGAACATGGAGGGTTGGCAAATAGAGACGCTCGGACTTTTCATGCTCAAGCTCGTCACCTGTCACATCAGACCGCATCCAGAGCAATGGCCCGCAGCCTGCCATGAGTATGGCGAAGCGGAAATTTGCCTCCAGCACGACTGCGGTCGGGGTCGGTGTTCCCAGATTGCCATCTGGTTTCCGGATCTGTTGTCTCCGCAGCAAGCTGGCTGCCATGTTGGCACCTTGACTGAAACCCAAGAGACCAACCCAAGGACCCGTGGCTCCAGCCTCATCATCTTTCTTCATAGATGTAGCGAGACACTGGTCGATCTTCTCAATCTCTTCATCATCCGTAAAAGAGAACTGAGACGAATCGTTGTCAAAGACGTACCCTGGTCGTTTCCAGCTACGAAACGGAATCCATTCAGCATAGACAGATTCAACGTCTGGTCCAGGGTGACTAAAGTACGGCGCATTGATAAAGACAAATCGGAATGTCTTGTCGAGGCGGGCTCGTATTGCTCGGCACTGAGCATGGAAAATGAGTGCATTGGTACCACCGCCGTGAAGGCAGAGAAGGCGCGGGAGTAAGAGAGACTCATCGGGCAGAATACAATCGATATGGCGCGAGGAACAAAAGATGTCTTGTTGTGAGGGAACCATTGTGACACTTGTGATATGGTACTTTTCGGGTTGGGTAAGGTAAGCTGATGTGTCCATGTCAACCCAGGACTTAGCCCCTAGTGGTAAGTATTTTAAAGATACTCTCTGCCCTGGCTGCTCTATGTTCTTTCTTTTAGTGCCCCACTTATATTGAATCTAGGTTCCTTTAGTTATCAGGAGCTCTAAAATAAACTATAGAACTGTTCAGGAGAATAAATTATCCACTTACCTTAAGCGGCCTCACTCGGAGTTATATTACGAATTTAGCAGACTGAATTTACAATCCTTGTATTATAGATATCCAATGGTTCACCAAATGCTGCTTTATTTTCATTTATTGTCTTCCTTAATACAGAGATATCCTTCTATCATTACTGTCCCCCCACTAAGCAATGGCAAATCGCTGGCAGCAACATGAAACATGCGATGTCTCGGCGCTCGCGAAACCCCTGGAGTTCAACTTCTCAAGGCGGGTTGCCAAGAATCGCTTCATGAAAAGCGCCATGGCTGAGTCTTTGGCGTCCTGGAGTCCTGATGACCCAGAACATATTGGTATTGCCACAGAAGAATATGTCAATGTTTATAGACGGTATGGATTTCCATGCGCAATTTTGTCAAGAAAGAAACTTATCATCCCTCTACAGGTTCGGAGAAGGTGATTGGGGTGTCATAGTCACAGGCCAAATTGATATCGATGCTCGCCTATATAATCGCGGCAATATTGTCATTGGCAAGGAGCATCAGCCAATTCCAGGGGACCTACGATTCGAACGTCTAAAGCAAGTCGCCGCAGCTGCAACTGCTCATGGCTCTTTGATCCTTGGACAGATAGTTCATGTGGGTAGGCAACTTGATGCTCGAGTATCAGCAGAGACAATCTCGGCATCTCCTACCCCGTTAGGTATGTCCTTCCCATATTCTCCATATACAGCCGATGCAACCTTGTTCGGCTTCGTGATTTAGCACAAGCTGACTGAAGCCTTGATCAGAGCCAAAGTTGGGCATGAGTTTCGCCAAACCCCGCGAGGCTACAAAGGCCGACTTGTCAGACGTGATCGAGAGCTTTGCCCATGCAGCTTGGTACCTCGAACAAGCTGGTTTTTCTGGTATTCAATTGCACGCAGCTCACGGCTTTTTGCTATCGGCATTCCTCTCCCCATCCACGAACCATCGCACTGACGAGTACGGGGGCAACCTACATAACCGCACACGATTGAGCCTAGAGGTTATGAGAGCTATCAAAGCCAGAGTATCGCCCAGTTTTATCCTAGGCATAAAGGTCAACAGTACTGAATTCCAGGAGAATGGCTTCACTGCAGATGACGGCGTTGTTCTTTGCAAAGCGCTGACTGATGATCAATTCGACTTTATCGAATTGACCGGAGGAACCTTTGAAGTGCTCCACTTCCAAAAGAAAGCTCTGAGCACCACTACTAGGGAGGGCTTTTTTCTTGAGTTTGCAAAGTCAATTACACCTGTACTACACAAGACAAGATCCTATACATCAGGAGGGTTTCGTACCAGTTCTGGCATGGTGAGCACAGTAACTACGGTTGACGGAGTAGGCTTAGCACGTGCTGCAGCACAAGAGCCCTCCTTACCCAGGGACCTTCTTTCTGGGTCCATCAAGGCCGCTATTAGACCCATCACGCCTTTCTTGGAGACGCACCACATGTCACTTGCCCTAGCGGGTAGCCAGATTCGTGAAATTGGCATGGGTCGAGATCCTCCTGATAGCAGCGATTACGAGAAGGTTCAAGGGGCGCTGAAGCAATTGCAAGTTTGGACTAAAACTGAGGTTGGCAACAGGCATGGCATTGGTTGGCTCAAGCTGGATACGTAGACATAGAGTATTAATACTTAGATATTCTTAGATACAATATATTTATTTCCTTACAGCACTAAGACCTCTATTAAAAGATATACTCCCAAGTCCATCAAGACTTAGTTATACTTATGCTATAGGATTTAACTATAAATTATATATATAACTTGCTTCTTAACACTTAGCTAAGCTATCTGAGCAGTTGCCATACCTAGCAATTTACTGCAGCATAGATTACATTTACCGCTTGTCCTAATAGCATAACCTAGTAGACTTAGAGTTGAATGCATTTTACCCTTACTTAAAAGGCCGATTAATGCTGTCCTTTAAGTCGCCCTGGAATATATGTGCCCTGACTACATTGTTCTGAAAAGCCAGCTTTAATGGGAGAATGCTTTGCGTAATCATTGCCCCCTTCAACCCGAGGTAGAAATGCATAATGACAGCAACGAGAATACCAAAGATCTGCCTCCGAACAGCGTCAAACAACAGGCTTCTGTCATATTTATATACAGTAGTTGTAATCAGACGGCCTTTCTTGTCACTTAGCTGCACATCGGATTGGTCGTCTATGAAAAGTTAGTAAATCCTTTTTGATTGTAGGTAGAACCTTACGCTTTTCTTTAATAGAAGCAAGAGTCATTGCCCATAGTGTTGCAATTACAAGATTGCTTGCCACATACATAGAGCGAACAATGTTAAGAACGTCAGGGTCATTCAAGTTCAGTCTCTTTGCAACCTGGACTGAGCATAAAATTATAATGATGTTTAGACTGAAAGAGCTAAAAGTTAGTTTTAGAGAGATATAGAAGGACTCTTTACATACAGATAGGACTGGACTAGCCGTTTACTGATTGTAAATATAGAAAGAAGAAGATAAGCCATTTTTTCAGTCTATACTGCTATAATAAACTATAATTAAAAGTAAAAAAGTAGAAATACTATAAGACAGTTTTATAAG